ATTTCTGGTCATTGTAATATTGAAAACATTTTGAGAACCTCATTGCTAAGGGACATTGTGTACTTAAATGGAGAAAAACTCTATCCTTATGGTAAGGCTGACCCCTAATATGATTATTGAAACTATTGTCACTCAACACTATGTGTTGCTTCTTGCTGTTGAATATACTAAAAAAGCCCCAGAATCAGTTAATCCTCCATTGTATCAACTATTCAAGAGGTACTAAGACCAAGAGGATACTGTCCTGTGATGTGATTAAATAGAATTATAATTATTACATTTTATTTTCAAATCTTTTATTTGGGTCTCCCTCAAGAATTCACAAATAGTGTGACTTTGTCTGTGTGCTCATGTGTCTATGTCTTTGAATGATTTCCCCAGATTCATGCAAAACCATCAGTTTTGTCTGTGGAATGATATAATAAATTATGTGTAAGTGGTGAACCTCTGCAAAGGTGCTTTAGCTGATTAGTAGAACTTATTTTTAGACTGTAAAAGCAGCCCCAGGAATCTAACCTCGATACTTAAAATCTGTTTTCTTTTCATGGCAAGCTGTGCTGCAGCAATTAGGAGTTTTTTCAGGGATGTATCTATAATCTTAAACTATATTTTAGACTATCTCATTAGTTGGATATTTTGCTCTTCCAGTTTTATCGATATATTTCACCATTTAGCACTTCATGAGACTACAGCACATTTAAAAGAGTTCATACACCTTCCAAATAAGGCTTAGGAAGTTGTGAAATGGATCATTCAGGTATGAACTCCTAATTACATTAAGACAACAAGCTTTATTTACGGTACAGAAATCTGAATAATTTTCAGTGATATGTCTTTTGCAATTTATGCTGCGAGTTTTACGTCTCGCAATCGATGACAGACAAAAATGCTGCATTAAAAGTTGATAAAGACAACATGACATAAAGTGACATACAAAGCAAAACAAGAAGAAAAAAGTGTGCATTGATGAAGTGTTACACAATTTAGTTTATTATCATCCTGTTACACGACAGCTGAATGCAAAGCTTCATCAGAAAATCAACCCATTATTTCACAGAACTTTAACTTGCTGAGGATAAAATAATGAAAGGAAAGTTGTGATGACTTATCTTTTCATTTCTTCTTTAGAATCTTGCAAAATTGTTTGGCTGTACTTTATGGTTCTTCATGCTCAGATATATTTCTGGTCAGTTTAAGAAAAAAATTAAACCAGATGTTCTTCAAGTGTTACAGATTCAATTTGGCAATGCTAACTTTAAGCAAAGTGCTGAGTCAGTATTCTCTTTATGTATCTGGAGCTATTCAAACTTTCAAAAAGAGTCATTAATCTGACTAAAAGAGCATCTACAAAACTGCTGATCATCAAGCAGAATCCCTGAATTTTAAGGACTAAATGGGCGTCATGAGGATAGACAGTCTCTGAAAAGCCAAGCTACTCCCATGATTGCTTCTTAAAGAAAATGATGTTTCTTATACTTTCAGCTGAGGGCTCAGTTAGTTTGGTGTGCTGCATCTCACATATGGCGATGCTTGGAGTGCAACTGCGAAACAGATTACAACACAAGTGTTAGCAATATCCAGGTCTCCACTTAAACACCCGTCAAAGTGCATTTGTCCAGAAAACGTAACACAACTTCACTCCGTCAGTGAACAGAAACATCCTTCAGCTGGATGCTGCCCTGCTCTCTTGGTACATGGTAACTGCAATAACTTATTTTATTTCATTTTAGAATGCCCTTCTCTGAGTTTTTCCAGATAAAATGTTATTTAAGGTGGCAATTTTGGGATGTCCGAATGCAGTGTTTCAATTTGAGGGTTTAGACTTTAGAGTTTTGAGAGAAGAGCTCAATTCTCATGTTGATAAATAGATACTTCACTGATCCTCAAAGAAATTGTTCATCAAGCTCTAATCTTAAACCTATACTCTAACAGTCCAAAAACAGGATTTAAACAGTAACTGAAAATCTCACAATTTATGTATATTTAATTTTCATTCTAATTTGGATTTTTTATGGACTCATGAATACGGTACAATGTATTATAATCATATTTTTGAAAAATTGATTTTCATCTGAGCAAGATAAAATTGCATTTGATGGTGAGATGATAAGAACCAAAATGTAATTTTTTTTGCTTTGTGTGGATGCATTCTTTGTTCACATTTAGCTGACATAATAAATGGATACACCACAGCAAGAAGCTATAAACTGATATGTGGATCTCCCAGCAACAAGCATGGTTTTGACCGTTACTGTACAGGATATAATAAGGTGGCATGGCCCTCAGACATACATTTTTGCTGACACATAAATCTTTTTATCTGTATGCTTTAATGAAAGATAATTTATCCCTATTCAAGAATCTTTTACCCCAATATCTGTCCAGATACCAGCATTTCAAAAGTTAATGATAGTCTATCATCTTCAAAAGGTGCTTAAAACATTATTTAGACCCTGTTTGGCTTTTAGACCCTGTCAGTTGCCACATCAACAGCTCCTTTCATGTCAGCTTTGTTTGACAGGCATTTCTTTTCCTTTTAGGCAGAAACTCTGAGATGTCATCTGAAGAAGAGAATTGCTCCTTTAAAGAGTTGGTTGGCACACTTTTTCTTTCATGTTGCTTTCATCGCCCTTCAGCCTGTTCCAAGAGAGTTTGGTAGATTTCTGATTTCAGAAATCGTGGATAACAGTCGTTTTCCATCAGACGATATATGAGTTTCTGTGCTCTGTCGAAGCAATTTGGCGCTGGGTGAGAGATGTTTCCTCTGATTTCTCCTCTTGTCACGCAGTCAATGTTTATCTGCGTTCAGAAAATATAACCTGTAACTGCACTCATGAGTTACGTCTGCAATATGTTTTCAAATTACAACGCTATCAGAAAGTTATTTGCATGTCAAAAACAGTAAAAGAAAAAATATTGTCGCACAAAGCAAAGCGTATGGAAATGTGATGTTTATTTGGAAAGATTATCTTGGAAACTGTGACTGACGCTGTGGAGGATTCACAGAGACAGTGAGCAAGCCGCCAGAAGAGGCTGATTTAAAGTTACACCAGTCTGACTTCATTCATGTCTCATGGTACCAAAGACATACCTGTCTCGGTGCATCAACTCGGACAAATTCTGAGTAAATCCTTTTGGCAGCAACCGTCATCTCTGTTTCATTGGGGATTTTTTTGTAGTCTTCACAAGCAAGCCAAAAAAGAAGATTCTCCTCGCTGTATTCTGTCCTCAGGAAATCCCCAAACACCAGCCGGCCGGCTGCATGAAGGGAACATCGACACTTTAAAATAAGACAGTTTTATTGCTGATACTTAACCTCAGTCAACATACTTAAAAAGGATTTTTTCCTCTTAAAGTGCACGATTTGAACTCTGTAACTTTACAGTTAGAAGAAATTCTGTGACATTAGAAACAGGTTAAAATGTATGTATTCTCGGTTTTCTTGAGGTGCAGGATGATGATAGTAGCAATCTAAAGATAGAAAGCATAACTTCATGGAACCCTCTACTAAAGATATGTATGCCATTTTTACAAATATACTGAAGTTTTTCAAACATCAGCATTTATTAAATCTGCTTAGCGTGATAGTAAGGATTTTACCTTCTCATGGTCTATTCCTTAGAGAAATAGTTGTATATGCACACTCCTCCCTAAAGCTTTTGCTGGTTTCCAAATGTTCCACTGATTCAGTTATAGAAGTATTGCAGAAATCAGGAGAAACACTAAACACTGTAAAGATTACACCTTAAGGTAAATCCAAACACGTAATTTCGGACACAACTTGATTGTTCCACAGAGCAATTTTTTTCAAATTTGGTTTCACTATTAAACTACGAAATTAGCAGGTTCCTTGTTGGGACTTAAGTGTCACACTTTTGTTTCAGTCTGATGCGAATAATTAGCTAATTTTTCTATTCCGTCTTTATTTTTGCAATTACATTCAGCGAGGATGCAGAACTTTCTCCTTCTGTGTAATCTTTTGACCAGTGTTTTACACAAGAAAGGTTTTCTTAACTAAAATCTGCTCCAAAGAGGCTGCTGCAGCAGTCCATGTTTTAGGCTCCAGAGTAAACGAGAGAAACAAAGCCGCTTCTTTTAAAAATTTCAAAAGTATTTAATATGAAAACCCTAAACCCTTTAAGCTGAACCCTTTAAGAAATTCTGTTATCGTTCGCTCATACTCTCAGTTTGCCATAACATTGCTTCTGAGTACAAAGAAGTCAGTGAACAAAGAGATGATACGTGAATTTGCCACATAGTGTACCGGAAGCCTAGAGGGCCCTTTGACTTCAAAACCTTACAAAACCAAACCGCATCTCAACGTACAGTGCCTCAGCATCACATAATTCAACACATCAACACCTCTTGTTATCTGCTCTTCACACCCGTTGTCTTTGTTAGGGAGTATTCGCACAGCTAAGATTCCAGTGCTAGACTTAAATGCTTACCATTTGTTGGGAACGTAAAGAAACAGTTAACTCCACGCAACTGTTCCTGGCCCAAATTGCTGAACAATAATCTCAGCTGATGCTGTGACAGTTACTGACAAGAAAGAAAACAACCAGTGACTGCATGTTCTCATCAAAAAACCTCTATATCTGATCCCTCGGTCTGAACAGAATGGACTTCTTGAAGTTACATTGCTTCTTTAGGTATATTAATGCCTCCAGAAGGCAATCCACAATAAAAAAAAGTTTATTTTTTCAGGTCTGATTAACATTTTTTGTCTCGTCCTTTGGATTCCTTGAAAGTTGAATGGTGAACAGGACTGAATTCACTTTCTGGATGAGTTCAGCCTGATGAGACCAAGATGGATAAAATATTACAGTTAAACTGAATTCATGTCCTTGAAGTACTTTGTGAAGAACGAAAGCAGGAAGAGACAGAGAAAAAAAACGTATCTACCCGCTATGTCATTTTCAAATAGAGGCAATGAATATGGGCAGGTGACAGCCTGGGATAGTTATATCTACATTGGCAGCTAAGATTACGCCTCTTATCTTTGTAAGTGTCGTCCTCCCTAACTATATCTCCAAATGGGTTTGATTAACTTGAAGGTGGAATATATCCTCTGTCATCCTGAAAAAGCCCATAGGGGAAATCATGAAGATATGATAGGTCAAGCTGCCAAAAACTGAGAGGCTAAAAGGAGAGGGCAGAAAATGAGAGAGCAGCGTTTGACAGGAAAAGCGAAAGCAAAGATTTTTTTGTTGGCTCACTTCTGCACTCAAGAAGATGGTCGAATGACTGTCCCCATGCCCTGACATCATCAATTGGAGCCCTTTGAAGGAGAACAGAACACAGAGTGAACTAAAAACCTTTTAGAGGTGAGAATAGAAGGGTAAATTCCAAGTATATCCTCTTTACAGGATAAAGAGCAGCTTGTAATTCAGCTGCCAACAACTGACAAGTTTTTTTTTTTAATATCATTAAAAAATATGTACTTGGTATGAGTTTTTAAAAGAAAACAAAGTCTGTGTCATACTGTACATTGTCTCAGCATGTCTTAGCAACTTAAAAAGTGAATTCTTCTCATATTTATACTACAAGTGCTTACTCATTTCAGACACATTTTCAGTCTTCTTTAAAGAAAATTAGGATAGAAATAAGTACACTATGCAGTATATACTCAACCACTGTTTCTATTTTATACATTTATATCTCCTTTTTCTTGAAGAAATCTTATGAAAACCCACCCCTTGCTTATTGGTCAGCTGATCCAAAAACAGTGATATCTGTATGAGGGCCGTGGCCCCTCAGGTGTGTGATTAATGGTTTGCATCAAGTGTTTTTATGTACATAATAAGCTGTATTAAAGTGGAAAAACAATACGTTCCTTCTAAAATGTTGAATACACAAACGTATCTTAAATCAGATAAATCAATCATTAAAGTTTTATCTCTAAATGAACTAATTTAACTGATATAAATCTTTTATAGTTGATTGAATTGAAAGAAGGACGGCCTCCACATTTAGTCATAGTCCCAACTCAGGGACTTAGATTAGAGCTAATATTGCCTCTTAATTGGATACCATTTATCAGATAGATTAGTGCACTTTCTGAGATGTGCTCAGTAATACAATAAAATAATGATCAATTTCTCTTAAAGTAATTTCTCAAATCTGGACTGTATATTTATTTTCTCAATTCAAGCATTTGAACAAATTTAAGCCAAACATCAGAACAGGCCAATGTTCTGCATTTCAAACATCTCATAGTCCATTAACAGCAAGCCACAGTACATCATCCCCAGGTATGCTGATTTAACATGAAAAACACACGTTAAAACAATGGATGTGACATGGTGTTTGTTGGCACCCTGTCAGCCACGTTTTCCTTTTTTCTTGTTTTTGTGCTTATTTACAGAGGCTGTTTTTTGGTGTGTGAGACAGGTACAGCTGCAGCTCATTATCCACCCTCTCCACAAATGGCCGGGTACTTCATCTCATCCTGTGCACACAGTCAGGCAGTAGTCTTTAGCTTACAGGCCTTGTCAAAACATTTTTTGTAATTCCCTTTTTAAATTCAAGATACTTGCCTTGTCACCCTTCCAAACTGCTTTCAGAACAAAGACGACTCAAACCAACCAAAAATAACCCACATCTTCGGACTCACATTTTTGAAAAAAAAAAAAGGCCAACTTAGCTAATTTCAGATCTTGTGTCTTCTTTCTGTCCTGTTGCACAGACGATAAACAGAACTGAGATCTGACAACAATACCGCTATATTTTTGCTTTCCCTTTATCTCCCTTCTGGCCTGTCATTAAGCCAGCCGTGGAGAACCAGGAGCAGCTCGGTCCAACAGCCGGCTACACCAAAGCAACATAGCAGAGAAAGCGTCACACACTTTGCTACATTGACAGCTGCTCAGCTGAGAACAAGAGACAGTTGCTGGAGGCTGGATCGGCAGGCAGATTTTAGTTATTTTTCAGAGTGATTTAAAAAAAAAAATCTGATTCTCTCCATGTGTTTCCCAAAAAGCAGTGACTTGTGTTCAGTAAAAAGCCCTAAAATGTCCTTGAAAGATGAAGATTACCGTGTGCTCCTCTGACAGCTTTGACAGAGCAATTTTGAGCTGCACTTTTAAGGGATGTAATAGTAACCTTTCTATCAGAAGTAAGCAGGAGGCATCAAAGACAAGCTCTCTTGTAATGCAGACACTTGTTTTTTGTGGATTTTCATCATTTGAAGCACAAAGCAGAGTCAGCTTGTAAAATTCGTACCCCTCTTCTTTTATCATGTTCGGTTAGGCAGAGCTGCAGGCATAGACAGAAAGAGGGAAACACAAAGGCAGAGACTCCGATAAAAAGACAAAGATCACAGGGACCCGCTCAGAAGCACTTGCTCACAAACTCACGGACTGCAAAATCAACCGCAGTTTTATTTTAGCAATCTGCTTCCTGGTAAAGATCAGAGAATATTGGTCATAGCAGAAAAACAAATCAGTCTGAAGGGCTGGCAAAACATTCCGAATCTTTAAACAGAACTATAATGCTATGTGCCATACAACAAAGTTGTTATGCTGTGTAGAACGAATTTGCAGGACATACTCACATGTTTTCTTTTGCAGTATAGATTAAAGCATGTTTCTTTGCCATGGTATTATGTGGTTAGTGACACTGACTTCCCAGACTTTCTTTCTACCTCCCTGATGTAGATGCAAGCCCATACATGCAGAGCTGCAGTACAGGTGTGCCTGGTGTTTACAGAAATGATAGGTTGCACTTTTGAACCTCGGGCTTTATAACAGAAAACCTACCGCAAAGTCTGTGGATCAGATATCCTGGTGTGAGCCTGGGCTTCTTTAAAAGGGGAAGGAAAAGCACATGAGCACTATGCAGCCCCTCGCTCAAATAACAAGTCACACAGCAACACAATATCCCCAAACCTGCCGGACAATTTGACCACAAACCATGCAAAGACCAGACTTCACACCGAATGAAAAGTTTTACCTAAAGAAAGATGTGAAGAGACTAATGTCCGCATACCTAAATGTACTAGAGCAACATGAGTATAGTCACTGATGAGGAGGTGTGCGGTGATGTGGTGGTCAGCACTGTCAGCAGCAGGCAGGTTGCCGCTTTGAACCAAGGCTTCCAATATGGAAATTGCATGTTTTCCCCTCGGGGATGTGGATTCTGTCCTGTGGTCTCCCACAGCTAAAAAGCGTGCATGTCTGGCTGATTCGTAATTCTGAACTGGTTGTAGAGGAACGTATGGGACTCTATGGTTGATATATTCTTGCCCCTGCTGGCAGCTTTGACAGGATCAACCTCCCCTGCAGTCATCTTTTAAATTATCATATAGAATGATAAGATAAAAAATCAAATAAAATCATTACTATATAGAAAATACCTTAGTAATGAAAGAGTGTGTATTGTTTTCAGATGACTATAAACCTGCAAAACCTCCCATGTAAAGAAATAAAGAAACAAATAAAAAATAATTTATGTTTTGGTTATAATTTGGTATTCATCTCATAGCATTTATTTTATGATTCAGTTGCGTTTTTTGTCACTTGAAGAATCGAAATATGAGAGAAGACTATACAGGTACAGATAATGATTGTTTGACACATCTTATTCCTTCTCTCCAAAAATACATTTTATGGGCACAGAGAGACAAATAAGGACACTCACTCTTAAGGGCAATTTGAAATATCAAATCAACCTAACATGCAGGTTTTTTTTGGACAGTGGGAGTAAGCTGGGGAACCCGGAGAGAACCGCGTCCCCCTATAGAGCCTTCCCCTATATAATAACAATAATGATAATAACAATAAATAAAAAAAGTTTGTTCATTTACAGCCCCATGAGACAAATTAAAAGATTCTAGACATAAGTCGCTCGAAGCACACTCACAGCTTCAAAGTTGTTGGATCGATGCTGACCCACTTACCCATCCTGTGGGTCATTAAATCTTAAGCATTTCAATCTCACATAAGAAATAGGAAATCCTTAGCTGCTCCTCAGGTGCCTTGATGTTGAGTTTTAATCAACATCTATTTTGCTTTGTTTACCGAAGTGTCGGCCTTAGCCTCATCATCCACAGTATCAGCTGGACTTTACTTAACATATGACTTAATGTTTGGTTGGAATATACCTTATGAAATTTACACTGAATATTTGTGGAAAGTAGGTAAATCTCATCCCATCAAGAGGACTGCATTAACTTTACTGATGCCATATTTTCCTGTGATTTAGGAAGCTAGATGTAGGTTAGACTAGTTTTGTGAGCATTTTCTTTCCTCACCTGGGGTTATAAAACAATATTCCCCAAACAAATAATGATGGGAACATCTGTACAGAAAATGGATTTTTGACCCAGTTGACATGGAGAGCATCTAACTCTCCAGATGGCACGTGCTCAAGTCAGGAAAAGGTGGTACAATGTCCTCATCTCACACAGAGAGAGATAGGGCTATGAAAATGACTGATGGGAGAACAAATGGCAGAGCTGTGATCAAGTGGAAAAAGGGGGAGGGGGAGTGAAGGGAGACGAGGGACAACGCTGACAGCTGAGAGGCCTACCTGTCCACCCTTCTCTCGTTTTCAGTCTTGATTTGCAAGTCCTCGACGGGACACTTTTCATGGTCATCCTGGGAAACAAGAACAGGTGCCATAAAACACAGCGGAGAATGGGATTTGCATCTGTAATGACCTCACAGGAGATGCTGAGAGTATTACGTACCCAACGAAAACCTGTCAGAAACGCACCGTGGTCGGTATTCATCACCAACAGAGCTGCAACTTTTCTGCCGTCCTGTCACTTAACAATGATGGAAGACAGCTTTATTGTCTTCTCAACACAATAGCCTGGTGCTTATTATAGCATTTTCCTCCAGGTCTACCTTGGTATTAATCACAATCACGCCTGTTTAACATATACCACAGCTTAGGAGGAAAAAGATTTAACCACAGCCTGTCATGAGAGATTTTCAAATTTAATAAATTCCCAACCAGTGGACTCAGACGCTTGAGCTGCCTGGATGCCTTAAAACATTTTTCACATTTATGACTGAGTATCTCTATGCAATAAGTCTTCTAGTGTAAGCTTCAAATCAAAAGCAAGACAGACTCTAGGTCCAGCTCCAGGTGACAGAGCAAGTAGATCCTGTGTGATGTGCCCATTGATCCAATATTCAAATTGGCAAAAAAGCACATAATTTATGATTTTTATCGATTTGGAGGCAGTCTGAGTTAGAATAGCTTCTGTTTTAGAAATACAGCTTTCCTTGTGCTTGTCCCTTTGCTGGGTTTATGTCTCCTTCGCCATTAGTTTCAGTTTGATTCTGCCGCCTCCCGTGGAAGCCCATTTGTTTCTTGTTTTATGTGTTTTTATATGTGTAACCTGTTTTTGCACTTCCTTCCTGGGCAGTGATCAAATCTCGTTATCGTCACACCTAAGTCCAACCACCTCATCAGTTCCGGCATCATGCTGCATTTTTCCTGGCATCCTCAGGAGATAGTTCTGCGATATGTGAGTCTGGTTCCGATTTTTCTTACTGAATTACTTCTTTGTGTGTGATTTACCCCTTGCCTGCCAGTTTTAACCATCTCTTCGTCTCTGTCTCTTGCACTGGGTCACTCACGCCCTCCATACTACAGTGGCCCATCAATCTTCTGCCTATGCTGCCATATGAAATCCACATCGTGTTAAAAATCTTTGAAAATCACTTGATTCAGTGTGCCATATTAGTTTCCTTTTTTTCCTGAACAAAGACTTTTGCTCATTATTGTATTTTTTACACCCATATGAAAAACGTATGTTTTTATGCTGCTACGATTCCTCAAAACCACATTTGTGAGTGTTGAAGTCTCAGATTTTCAGTTTTGCAAAGGACTTTTGAGGTGAAAATGAACAGAGAAACACACTTAAATTATTCATGGTCAGTGGGAACTCCAGTTAATGTTACAAGCTGCCGACAAAAAATAGCAATTGCTTTCACTTATTTCACATTTCCACTTAATACAAGTATTTGTTAGTTTAGCTCTAGAGATGTGAGGGGAGCGGATCCCTCACATCTCTATAGCTAAACTAACAAAAATATAGTATTTTTATATGTATAATATAATATTAAATCTTTTGTGTGAAGTTATGACAAATAGTTGTACAAATGAGAATGTTTACAGTGTGTGTTAATTTTGTTCAATATGCTAGGTTGTAAAATATTAACTAGCACTTCATATTTATACTAAACATGTCAGGGAATATGGCTATCAATTCAATGCGAATATATATATATATATATATATATATATATATATATATAATGAAAAACATAATGGTATGCATGAGCTTGTGAAGGACATTTGTCCTCTGCTCAGTCATGAGGCAGACAATGTGCAAAAGGAGCATAATAAAACAGTTGCCCTTGGAGGAAACATCTGTTGAACGGGAAACAATCAAAGTCTGCATTGCATCACCCACCTTTGCTCAGCAATTAGACTCTGTTTAGGCTCATGTTAATCTACATGAACCATTGATGTAAGGTGTTGGTAATATAGTCTGTGAAAGTCATGCAAGGTTCATATTCAACCTTCTGAGAATCTTGGTTATAGTATAAAAGATTGAATCTATGTGCTTTGGTAAGATTTAAGTGAAAACATGTGAACCATATTTTCATACAAACTAGAATGAAGGTTGAAGCAGATCTTGACAGAATTTTCTGCAGGTAAATGTGTGAGCCTGCTCCTGTGACGACTTCTGTGCTTTCGGGTGGTGGACATTTACCAGGCTGAACCAATGCAGTGATCAGATGCATAAAAAAAAAAGGGAAGAATATCACTGTTACATAGAAAGTTTGACTTTCTTGTAATAATCAAATTCCTGCATGCTTATTTCACATGTATTCATGATTTATTTCCTTTGGGTTCTTTTAAAAATATAGATAGCTTTTTATGATTGAAAAGAAAAAGACAATCAGAGAGCGAAGCTGAATAGTTTCTCATTTCATGTGAGAAATCCAAACTGTGTCAACACCATGAGCAATGGAATATTATAAAACGGTCCACTATCAGGAAGAAAAAGGCTCAAAAGCCTTAATTGTAAATATCTGAACTTGTAACAGGGAGTCCCAGGTTACTGCCTTTTCACCAGGGCTGGGCTTATTTGAATAATTTCAATGCATTCCATGCATAGTTAGCAGGCATATGGTTATTCTCTGAACAAAGGTCATGACGAACACAATGAATGCAAAACTGTCTATATAAATACATGTATATATATATATATATAGATGCATATTCAGACATTTTGCTACTTTAAAAGATCATTGCACACATTAGTATAGCTGAAAATACTGCGCAGGCAATCTCTACAAGATAGTGATATTGTCACCCTGCACTTTCTGAATCAATATTTTATTAGAGCTGAGAAATGGCTCCACTAATATGTTGGTTGTCAGTCGATGGTCCTGACATGTTTAGCTGTATGACAGAAGACACAGAAAAAATATATTTTGCTGGTTATAGTTATTGGGAATTTGACTCCAAGGATATTCATACAAAAAGATTAAAGAAGTGTACACAGCACTTTAAAGCATATACTAGACTTTAGCCCATTTGATTCAAGCTGACCATAGAGTTAGAAATAATTCAGCCCTCAACTGCATATGGGTGTGCTTTGAAAAGGTTAAGGTCATACTATTGCTGCAATATTAAGTCTGTTCAAACCT